TCCCCATTCTTATATAAGTCATTTGTAAGTTGGATGTTTGGAACTCGAGGACAGCCTGTATATTTATGCTGTTTGAACAACAATGTGGTTGATGTAGACTGATACCACTACAGCTAATTTAGAACTCTGTCTATCTACCATCTATCTATCTACTATCTAGATAAATATATGTTATAAAGTAGCTATAAGAACATATGTCTGCTAACTACATCTGTAAAGTTATTTGAGCTTTATGTCTCAACTACATTTAAAGTACAGTCACTGAAATCAAACCTGAGTAATATAAACTTCACTAATTCCAGTGGGTCATTTCTAATTTTATATCCAACCACTTCATAGATTTTTCATATAAAGTAAGAGAAATGATCCACGAAGACAGCATATATCAAAACTTCTGACTGTCCTAATATCTAAAAATGTTTCAAAAGATACCACATTTCATAATTGTTGTTTTCTGTTGATCTAAATCTACTTGAGAGCCAAAAGACTTCAAAAATATAGGGTCAGTATGTGTGTGTGTCTACACACAGAGAGACACACAGGCACACATACACACACACATACATACACAAGTATATATCTGAACATCAAAGGGGTAAAAACTAAAAAATATTTCAAGTCTATTGTCACAACAAACTGCTGTATTTTCAGACAAATTATCAATTGCACGTAAAACATATTTATATTCAAAAAAAACCTTTCAATTTACTTCCTTTTCAAATGACTGATTCAGTGGTCTCCCATATATAGATCTTCTGAAAAATGCAATTCATCTTCATCATCATCATCATCATCATCATCATCATCATTAATTACTTATTAATCGCCCTCCATCCGAGATGCTCCAGGCAATTTACATAGCAGAAATTATACAGGATTGATATAATGTTTCTTTCAAATGGTGACTATATGGTTATTTAGTATAAAGTTAGTAATCTGTTAAATAAGTGTTTGTAATAAGTACATTCAGACCATTATGTCTTTGGGGCTGCTAAGACAGATCTGTTTATTGATTAGTCCACTGACCATATCAGCAATAAGACACAAAAACTAAAAAAGGCACAGACAAATAGTCACTAATAACTATCATAAAACTCCTGTAATGGTTAACTGAAAAAAATTAAAACACAATGAAATTTGCTTAAGTAATAAGTTTGGCAAAATGGGATTAAATTGCAAGATGCTAAGAGATGACCACACTATCTTTAAGGCTGAAATAATAAATTGCACAGGATGTAAATTATTAATCTGAATTATTTTGCATAGTTATCTTTTATAATGATTTTCACATTATAAGGCAGAGTTACCAAACAAACAAACAAAAAATCCTGAATGGATTGAGAAAAGTGATGACTTCCATTTCAATGAGCTGTGAATATGCTTTGTGTTTTGACATTTTCTTTAAAGGAGCTATCCAAGATGCTCAGCCTACTTTGAGGATGGACTTCAGCTCTTTGGGGAGCATCTTTTGAATGATTTATGTATTTATTTATTGAGTTTATATCTAGCCTTTCTCATGAGACAGGATTCAAGGCAGCACATGATAAATTCAGACTAAAATTCAAAGGATTGTGGTCCACAGACATGGAAATCCCAGTAACTGAGGAGACACTTTCAAGGCAAAAAACTAAATAAAGAAAAACAAAACAACACTGCCTGCCCCCCCCCCCCCCCCCCCCCCCCATCCCCAAACAACAACTCTTTATTATAGGCATTATAGGAAGTGTCATTCCTGAAAAAATGTTGGATTTTTACTTTTTTGCCATAGAATTTAGTGTAGCTAGACCCTTTTAATTAATTAAATTAATTTTGATAATAGAAACATGGAGTTGGAAGAGACCACAAGGGCCATCCAGTCCAACCCCCTGCCATGCAGGAACACACAATGACTCACAATTTAGTATATGTTCTGCCGAAGTGTCCCCGTTGTTATAATCATGAAAAATCCTTATGTGAAATTGTGCTGCCGAAGTGTCCCCATTGTTGTAATCATGAAAAATCCTTATGTGAAATTGAAATTAAATCCTTAGCAGCTCATATGCAATTGGAAGTGTGCAGTAAGATCAGGAGCAGGAAAGCAAAATAGCATCTACTTGACATTCGGTTTTGTGTGGGGGCAATGTATCTCATTGTTCTGTATTAGTATGCCCTGCTATGTCAAAGCAAACAATGACAGGCTGAAGAGGGATAAGGTGGGGGAATCCCAATTCAGAGCTGCATAGTGAACCATTTGAGATTATGGTGCTGATCACACCTCCACCCTCCCAATCTATTCTAATAAGAAAGCAAGAAGCTAGAATGAGTGGAATGTGAAGGGCTTTAGGAAAGTTATTCTAGCTCTTCTGGAGTCATTCCTGCAATAGTTTCAAAATATTTGTTATCAGTTTGTTATTCATACTATCTCAACTTTATTTCATTTCCTATCAATTGCACTTTTAAGATATTAATAGTACAGCCCAGTAGCAAAATGAAGGATTAACATATTCCAAACTACAGAAACTTTGTTCTAAACCTGGGGTTAGAATTCAACCTGGAATATCAGTATGCAAAGTCATGTGGTAGTAAGGCCACACACACACACACACACACGTGTGTGTGTGTGTGTGTGTGTGTGTGTGTGTATGATGGATTCTTTCTGGAAGTAGACAGGGCCCAAGTCTACTTCCAGATCCTTATCTGCACTTAGGTCAGTGTAGATGTGGATCAGCCCTACATTGGCCAGATACCAATGATAAAACTGATCTGTGGTAACGCGTGACAAAGCCTCCAAAATGCTACCTTGCCCTGCAATACCCTTTGTCAGATGAAAGTCCAAATTCTTGCCCAGAATTCAGAACTGAATATAACTTCCCCACTGCCATTCTGTTTCCTGGGCTTGGGTGGCTTGGAGACACAGCATGGCAGTTCCTCATTTCCCCACATTCCCATTCATGGTGAGCTCCGGCCTTGACACAAGACTCACTTGTTTTCCTACACTTGGTGAGAGACAGGGAGCACTGGGAGTGGAGGGGAATAGGAAGGGAAATTCCAATTCTCTCCCCTCCTCCTGTCTCAGCATCTTGTTGCCTTATATTACATCATGGCAAATGATGAACAGGTAGGACCCATGTCAAAGTCAGAGACTGCCATGATGGATGGTGGCATCTTTGAAGACTATACCCAGACACAATCAGGTCCAACCTGCTAGGTCAGCACTAGGTTTTGGATCAATGTACATCTAAAGTTGTGTTACAACTTCATTTTCTCCATTAGTCTTTAACATATTATAAGAATCCTGTGTATACTGCTTTCTTTTCACTTTTTGTTTGACATAAACTGAAAGATTTAAAACTCATCAATCAAAATCTACAGATATCTTATTGTCTCTCAGTCATATTGCATCTCTTTCCAGATTAGTAGAAGGAGGTGTTCTACATATACATTCCTTTATATTTATGCACACTTTTGTGACCCACAAATGCAAAAATGCCATGTAGGTCAGTCCACTGTATGCTTTCAAGTTATCTCCAAAGCTGCATGAAGTGCATAGGAAATTGCTGAAAGCCTTTTCCAGAGCAAACAATGCACAATGCTGAATAAACATGAGCTCTCAATTGCATTGTATTTTTGACTAGCAAACATTCTCTGGTGTTGAGTGCACATATTCTGAGTGGCACAGAATCTCCCAATCCTTCAGTTTTTTTCCTTATTTTAAGTGTACCTATATCTGCAAAAGGATTTTCGATTTTTAGAATAACTTTCCATAGGGTACCTTTAAGACTAGGAGAAACAAAACAATACTTCACCTCACCCCATCCCCAATTCCAATGATGTTTTTTAGCCCTTCCAAATACCCTGGACCCCTTTTGGTCAAAATAAAGGATGAGTTGTATCTTGTAAAAGCCTCCAGGTGCAGAATTTTGCATTTTATGTGGTTTCCCCTCCCACACACATACCGTTTAATATCATAATCCTATTTCAAAACCAGAAGATTTGGTGACATTGACATTTTAATCAGTCAATGTGGCCCTTAGACAGTTTAAATGGCAGATAATTGTCCCTATGACATGCCTCAGTTGCTCAACTCTATTCTAAGAAAAAATGGACCACAAAGACCAAGCATTCAGAATAGTAGTGCATAATTGCCTTTTTCTTCTCATGGCAGGGAATCACACACAGTGAGCTTAAAGAAGTGACGTGAGATCATCCTCACTCTGCATCCACTGTCACTGCCCCTTGCTTCTATGTGAACAGGAGCTGGCAACTTCAAATGGTTCAAGAATTAGCTTTCAATTAGGCCCTAAAAAGCTGGAATAAATACCAAAATTGAGAGTATCCAGAAATTCCTATCCAGTTTTTGGTTGTTTCAAGTGACTCTAAGCCATAAACCCACAAAACCAGCTTCAGAATGACTGCTTGAAAGTGACACTTCATTCATTACTGATGTAAATCGGCATTTCTCTCTGCACAGAATAATTACATAGAGAGAATATTTGCATGCACATGTTATATAGTGTATTGAGACAATGAGTGCATGGAAGACAAGAAAGTGGACATGAATTGTTGGTACATAATTCCTGGGTATATGACAGCAGCTAGAATAATTTTGTTTATTTATTCACTCATTCATTTGTTTGCTTACTATATTGTACATAACGTTTGATGCTCACAGCACCAGGGATTTTTTTATATTTTACAATAATGTAGCTAATTAGATGAATCAGGTATATTTTCCCTTTTAGTTTCGCTTAGTACTGAAATACAATTGCAGTTCAGTGTTCATGTTACAGTATTCTCTGTATAATGTTCCACAACTAACATAACTTTCAAAGATTGTTAAGGAGTTTTATTTCCTAGAAGATTGCTTTTTTTAAAAAGAACTTTGAAGAAATCATAACTTTAGCATAAAGTGTGCTATTGCCCCCCAGACAGAAGAGAAGATGGAAATATATGTTCTGTGTAAAGATGTGTTTTGGTGACCCAACATTCTCAACTCTCTTAGGTATCTTTTCTCTTTCTAGCACCAACCGAAGTGACACTCTCATTTGATGTGGGGAATGGGGCAAATGAAATCATAGTGCAGTCACCCACTCCTTTAAATGACAACCAGTGGCACTATGTGAAGGCTGAAAGAAACATCAAAGAAGCATCATTGCAAGTAGATCAGCTCCCTCAAAGGATTCATACAGCTCCATCTGATGGGCATATTCGTTTGCAGCTCAATAGTCAGCTTTTTGTTGGTAAGTCTGGTGGGGGTTTTATTTACTGCCTCTTGATTATTGACAAGATGAGATCAAATGATTATGATTAAAGTAGTATTGTTATTACTATGATAAATATGTGAGAATTAGAAACAAGGCACTTAATTGAATACATGTGAAAATGGCAAATGCACAACATGCAATAGAAAATTTCAGTAGCCAAAACTGAACCTAGGACCTCTACATTTTAAGGAAAATGAGAATTTAATGAATTATTTTTAAAAATAGATGCAGTTGAATAATTTCATAGAAACCTCTGCTTTAGTCAGTTTTATGTAACAGCTTTTTTGGTTGCAAAATAGTGCTCGATCTAATGTAAATTTCTCAGGTGAAAAATATCTGAGATCAATTCTACACAATAAGTTCAAGGGCCTTAAATGACACTCTCATTGCTTATCTCTGATCACTAATAAAAATAACTCTGTGAAATAACTCTGTGGAGATAACAGTAGTACTAACCTGCCAGTTAGATGGAGAGAGTGCTTCAGCTAAAGGTTCCCTATACCTGCTAAAAATGTCCACTTTTAAGTTATATATATTTACATTTTCCTCTTTTCTTACATTTCAAGTATGGATTTTGAGCCACCTGCTGCTGCCACTAAATTTTTGTGATGTGGCACTAGCAAAAAGTGTGTGTGTGTGTGTGTGTGTGTGTGTGGAGGGGGTGAAACCTGGCAATTTGCAATGAAATAAGGTGCATGGGAAGTGATTACAGTGTTTAAAATGAGAATCACCCTGTCATAATCCTGTGAGAAGTACAATCCTTATGTTAGGCAAAGAACATGCTTCCAAGCTCCTTGAGTGCCTTGTTTTAACAGGAAGAGGGAGAACAGAAATAGCTTTTTCCACCTCTGGTTGCTATTGAACTGAATTATTACAGGATCAGTGATGGGATAAAGGGAGGCAATTTCACTTCTGGTACCCTTGGAACAGAAGAACATCAATGCACAGTCAGGTTTTCCCACTTGTGGTTTTACAAAGGCATTGTTTTGTAGGCTGTATTTTAGTGTCACTTTACATTGACCTGTTCAACCAAACTACTGTGTTCAGATCTCCAAACCAGTGGGTTTGAGAAAGACAGTAAAATAGTCCATACATTTTTCAAGATAGAAAGAACTTTGAAAAGTTGTGGTAATAAATGAAAAAAGAGGTCAAGCAGCACTTGCTCAAAGCAAAATGTGATGCTCATTTGAACAGTTTTAGGACACCCATTTTCAGGTATTGTCTAGATGCAAACAAAAGAGAATTTTGTGCTACATGTATAACACTATAACATGACTTGTTTCCCAGTGATTCAATATGATTCTACAACTCTGCAGCCTCTCGAGAATTAACCATTTTCATCACTCTTATGCTACTGTGATGTGGATATTTCAGTCAATTATTTTATCCCATTGTTTTAGAAATTGTGTCCATGTGTTCTTTCAGACATACATATTTTAAAAAGCTACTGTGTGACATAGAGAAGCTGATGAGATGAAGAATTTGAACCTTTTCTCATTACATTTCCAAGAGTTTTCACTTTTCATTTTCTCTGGAAAGGTCCTGTCCTCTTTTCTAGTTCTTTAAGGTGCTTGATGCAAATTGAAACATTATCCATCAAAACTTCTGCAGCTCTCTATCCTCAAAAGATCTATGCAATTACTCTTTCAAGTACATTGAAGGAGAACTGTTCCAAAATGACTTTTGCTTGAATATATACATTCTAAATCATACATTTGTAAATTTAACAAAATAGAAATACTGTGTGCCCATTTGATCAATTTGACTTGGCTAAGTGTATTTTCTATGGCTAATACTGAAAGTACCTCTGCTTTGGAGAATATTTGCCTCTTCAATGATCATTCAATGCATTAAATGTTTACATGTTTTGTATAAAAATCAACAATCTTCTCAAACGTTTAAATCTACTGTGGTTATATAATCCTCCGGGATGGGTCTTGGGGCTCTCTGGGATGGGTCTTGGGGGCATGGCTCTGTCGTGGCTCCGGCCCTTCCTGGAGGGTCACTCCCAGATGGTGAAGCTGGGGGACACCTGCTCGGACCCCTGGCCTTTGACCTGTGGGTCTCAAAAGGTTCCATTCTGTCCCCCCATGCTTTTTAACATCTACATGCTGGGAAAAGTCATCCAGAGTTTTGGAGTTGGGTGCCATCTCTATGCAGATTATGCCCAACTCTACTACTCCTTTCCACCTAATTCCAAGGAAGTCCCTCGGGTGCTGGATGAGTGCCTGACTGCTGTGACTGTCTGGATGAGGATGAATAAACTGAGGATCAATCTCAACAAGCCAGAGATCTTCCAGGTCGATCATAAGCCGGATCGGGGTATAGGGTGGCAACCTGTGCTTGATAGGGTTGCACCCCCCTGAAATCACAGGTCCGCAGCTTGGGTGTCCTCCTAGACTCATTGCTAACGCTTAAAGCCCAGGTGTCGGTGATGGCTGGGAGGGCCTTTGCACAACTAAAACTCATGTGCCAGCTGAGACCATACCTAATGAAGTCGGATCTGACCATGGTGGTCCACACCTTAGTCACCTCCAGATTGGATTACTGCAATGCACTCTATGTGGGGCTGCCCTTGAAGATGGCACAGAAAATTCAATTGTTCCAATGGGCAGCAGCCAGGTTACTAACTGGAGTGACTTACAGGGAGCGGTCAACCCCCCTGTTTAAGGAGCTTCATTGGCTGCCGTTCATCTTCCGGTCCCAATTCAAGGTGCAGGCTCTTACCTACAAAGCCCTGGATGGTTTGGGACCCGCCTACCTGTGTGACTGCATTTCTGTTTATGAACTCACGTGATCTCTTCGATCATCTGGAGAGGCCCTGCTTTCATTTCTGCACCCTTCGCAAGCGCGATTGGTGGGGATGAGGGAGAGGGCCTTCTTTATGGTGGCCCCCCAACCCTGGAACTCACTCCCTAAAGATATCAGTCAAGACCCCACTTTGGCAGTCTTTACGAGGAGCTTGAAAATGTGGCTGTTCTAGTGTGCTTTTCCTTAATAAAGGAAATAATACTCAATCTGATCAATATCCTTCTATATGTCCTCTGAAGCACTTTATCCATTGGATTGAGCTCCCTACATTACTTTCTAAAAAACCCATGTTTAGACATACCTTACTCTGTACATGCCCAGTGTTTTAAAATTTTTAATCGATTACATCTGGCCCTGCCATAGTGTCTTAAATCTCCTGTGTGTGATTGCTTATGTGTTTAGTTATATTTTATATTGTTTTATTTGCTTGTTTGCTTTGTTGATGTATTGTTGTATTTGTATTTGATGGGCTTGGCCTCATATAAGCTGCCTCAAGTCCCTTCGGGGAGATGGTGGCGGGGTATAAATAAAGTTTTATTATATTATTATTAGTCAGATCTGTATGTTTTGGGAGCTTTGTTCCTAACATTTGATAATTCTGTAATAAAGATGTGAGGAAAACACTTAAAATTAGTCATTCTCAAGGAAGGAAGACTATCTTGACATGTCAGGGTAATTTTTGAAAAGTTTCATACACACTTGGAAAGGAGAAACAGGACATGGGAGCTGGGTTTCTATGGCGACATTAGTCAAATTGTAACCCTGGTGGCACAATGGATTAAGCCCTTGTGCCAGCAGGACTGAAGACCAACAGGTTGGAGGTTCCAATCCAGGGAGAGTGTGGATGAGCTCCCTCTGTCAGCTCCAGCTCTCCTTGCAGGGACATAAGAGAAGCCTCCCACAAGAATAGTAAAACATCAAAACATCTGGGCATCCCTTGGGCAGCATCCTTACAGATGGCCAATTCTCTCACACCAGAAGTGACTTGCAATTTCTCAAGTCACTCCAGACATGAAAAAAGAAAAAGTCAAATGGTTACAAAGTTTTGCATAGGAATTCAAACAATGCAAATGTAAATGAAGCAGGGTCCGTCAAACCTTTTTCTTATTGATATGATTAATGAGACTCGCACCTTTCCTCTGTGGCAAGCCATGTTAAATAGTTTACCCCTGGTCATCCATATCTTAACTATTTCAAAAGGCCAGGAAGCTTGAACCCCCTGCAACACCTCCTATGCAGTGGTTCTCAACCTGGGGTCCCCAGATGTTTTTGGCCTTCAAGTCCCAGAAATCCTAACAGCTGGTAAACTGGCTGGGATTTCTGGAAGTTGTAGGCCAAAACACCTAGGGACCTACAGGTTGAGAACCACTGTTCTATGGTGTTGTTTTTAACTTGCCCCAGGCTTCCTTGGCTCTCCCATTTTAGACCCAAGAAAGTTTTTCTTTAAAAGAAGATAGAGTGAGCAGAAATCATTTCCAGTTAACTTTCTGCTTGACTTCCAAAATCTCCTGAAAATATCCAACAATGGCAATTCTCTTTTTAAGTAGGTCACTGGTTGCCCGTTTAATCTTAGAAAACAACAAAAGCTTTTCAAAATCCAACATAGATTTATAATTCCAATGTTTTAAACGTTTTTTTTTCATTATTTCACATTTTTCAAATTTTATGCTTAGGGATGCTAGGGACAGAACATTGACCCCCGAGGCTCCACTAGTGTCCTAAATTCATCTTTGAATTATTTATTAGCTATTATATTTAGTAAAAAATTAAAAGTGTCCCTATTTCAAGGACATGCTATCAAATCCAGAGAAAGGAATGATAATAGATAAGTGTGCTCGTGTTTGTTTGCTTTTAACATTTATATATTCACTGCTTGGAGATAATGCAAATAAATGCTTTTGCCTGTTATCTGCTACTGTACAACCCCCCCCCCCTTGTCTTTCATATACACCTTTTGGGGCTTATTGTAATTACTTGACAAAAGCCAAAGAAACTTCGATTATATTCATTTGAACAGCTGCTATTTCTAAATATTGTCAGATGTGCTCTCATAATCATACAAAGGCAAGATGAATGTCTGAGAGTTTACGTAGTACAAAATAATGCACTTCCTAAATGTATGCTTTTATGCCCCTTGCAGGTGGGACAGCATCCAGGCAGAAGGGATTTCTGGGCTGTATTCGTTCTTTACAATTAAATGGAGAAGCAATTGACCTAGAAGAAAGAGCAAATGTGACCCCAGGTGTAAAACCAGGTTGCCCTGGACACTGTAGCAGCTATGGTAACATGTGTCACAATGGAGGGAAATGCAAAGAGAAATACAATGGATTCTCTTGTGACTGCACTTTCTCTGCGTACACGGGGCCATTCTGTAAGAAAGGCAAGCATAAATTGCATTTTTTAAAAATCTGTGAAGTGTGGATTTTAGTCTGAATGATACATATCTGAACTAAGGATACCTATACCTTTAAAACCATCTTCTTATTGTTAATTTGGAACACAGTTTATGAGTGACGGCCTGAACTCCCAACAATCTGAGACAGATAAAGGAATGTTGACATCCCCGAGATTACCATGGCCATCACATCCCATCCTTCATGGAAAACATGGCTGACAAAGCATCCTTCATTAATCTCCAGAATAAGCTCAATTCTAAGGACCTTCATTGGCAGTCATCACTGAAAGGGAAGGCACGCGAGGTGCCTCTTCACACCCCGCATGCCTTCCCTCCTTCCCTCATCATATGATGGGGATGGGACATGGCATGTTGGTACCCTGACCCTGTCCCCATCAGATGGGAGAAAGAAAGAACAGCAATATGTGTTGTCCTGTCACCTCCCCTTCCCCCTTCATATGGGGAAAAGGGGAGGAAAGTGCACGTAGCTCTGTTGGAGCTACCCAAAAAACAGTTTCCTCCCTGTGGTGGTGGAGGAAGCATCTTCCAATGCTTCCCCTCCACTTCAGGATGCCAAGCATTGTTTGATAATGGTCAGCAGGTCCCGTCCAGGCCTGGCTAAAACTGCAAAAATGGGGCTGAAAAGTCCCCATGTGAAAAGATCCAAAATGTGGTGTTGATAGGATTGTCAGAGTGAAAACTGGAGACAACTCATCTACTTCTAATGGTTTGTAGGAGAAAGAATTTCAGCAGTTTTTGCTTGTTACATGATTTTATGACAATGCCACCTACTGGAAAATTCTCTTCTACACAACTGTTCAAATCCTATCATTGGGCTTAACCACCTCTGAGCTGTAATGTTCTCCTGGGGAGTAGTGTGCAGGCATCTTTCAGGGAAGAATGATGCAATTTGCTGTTCAAGGCACTCTGGTACTTAAGCTGGTTAACTCATTCTGCCTAATGAAGAACATGTTCTGCTATTAATGGCTTTAGATTTTCACAAAAGTTATCCTTGTGTATTCAAAAGAGCATTTTCTGATTTAGTTCATCTTTATCCAGCATCATAAACTGTGAAGGTGTAGTTGACAGTCCTGCAAACTGCCGATAACCTGTCTGAATTAGTCTTCCAAGGGATTAAGTGCATTGTACACTTCTTTACAAAATGAACTTGTTCTTTCATTTGAGACAAGCATCCCTTTGAAACAGGTCTAACCTTCCTGACAAGCACCATAAAGAAATCAAGACATACCATTTGGATTGGTAGTTGTTCATGTTTTTTTTTCCTTCATATTTTTAAACAACACTTGGGCTTTTCAGTATTTTCCTTCCTTGGTTTCTTCCTTTTCTTGTTTCAGAGGAAAAGTCACTTTATTAAACAGTCTTTATGTGCAGATTTTTCTAATGAAATGTAAGTTCTTTTAATATAGGTTCCTTGTTTTTTCTTGATTTTACTGGCTGTTGCTTCTGCACATATTCTTTCTATTCTTTGTAGTCCTATTTGTAGCAATTTATTGGATCTTTTCTAAGCCTCATCTAAAAGAATATTTTTAATGTATTGTCGAAGGCTTTCATGGCTGGAATCACTAGGTTCTTGTGGGTTTTTTCGGGCTATCGAGCCATGTTCTAGAGGCATTTCTCCTGACGTTTCGCCTGCATCTATGGCAAGCATCCTCAGAGGTAGTGAGGTCTCTGAGGATGCTTGCCATAGAGGCAGGTGAAACGTCAGGAGAAATGCCTCTAGAACATGGCCTATAGCCCGAAAAAACCCACAAGAACCTAGAATATTTTTAATTGGCGCATGATTTGCTAAAGGGAGCCTATAACATTTCTCTTTTTCTTTTTTAAAAAGTCTTATACTGAAAAAAAGTGTTATTTCACTATAGCATTAATGCACTATAGATGAAGATTTTTTTTTCAAAAGCAAGAGAGGTTGAAAAGAAATATGAGTTTTGTTCTAATATGTTTTGGACCAAAAAAAAACTACTTGAGGATGGGAATAAAACAAAAACTACATGAGGATAGGAATAAAATGTTGTGGGTGCTGCCAGACATGGTCAGAAAAGAATCTGGGACAACAGAAATGTTTGGATTTTTAAAAACGTGGGACAAAGAACAAATATCACAACTTTCTGATATACTTGCCTAGCCTGGTGGAACCAAATATTTTCCATTGCACCTATTTTGTTTCTTCTGTGAGTCACTTTGCTCATGACATGAGGTATGATGGTAGATATAGGTGTGTCCAACCCCCTTGCCTTCTCCCAATTTTCACTTTGTTTTGAATTCTGTTTCTATTTTGCAACTATCATACTTTCCTTCAGCTTCTCAATGTCTTATACATTGTATCGTGTATAGTGGGCCAGCATTTTAAACCTCACTGCTGAATATGCAGTGTTTGGGAAAGTGTAATAGCAGGAGAAAATGAAAGAAAATGCATCAAAATTGCACATTTTAAGACAAAATATGTGCCCTGTCTCCTTTTAATTTGCAGCATATATTAAAACATCAAGATCTGTCTGTCTGTCCATCTGTTTCATTTGTCTCCCAACTTCACTTCCATTTAAGGAAAACTGTCCATATTCTACATTAGATACTACATTAGTTACTACACAACTTAGTAATCTCTTCTTGTTCGGCCCCCAAGCCCACCATAATGGATTGAGCAAATGAGATATGTTCATCTGGTGATGAGGACACATGGAGGATGATGTTTCCAGCTCCCTCCTGCCAGCAAGTGAGTCTGTGACAAGGAATTGCAACAGGGATCTTGATTGTCACAGACCAGGTTACATGCAGGGGTGGGAGGAAATATTATCTTCCTTCTGCCCTGTCTAATTTCTATGAACTTTTAAAGTTAGAAAATGTCAGATATCTAAAGGATGCTGTTATTTTTTACTATTTTATCAAATTGTTTAATGCTTCCTATTATCAATCATAAAACAATATAATTCTCTAGAAATCAAGTAACAAAGATTAAATAAATTGCACTTTGGCTTCTCACAGCACTCAAAAAGACATATTTATAGTTGTGTGCTAAAACTATGTCTAGGCAGAAGTTGTAGTTGCTTTGTCATAAATTGTCAAGAACTGATTTTTTTTCTTTGACCAAAACATGCTGAATGGCTCCTAAGAAAAGGCCCTGACAATCATGACTAATGTTTTTAAGCACTATGTGGAACAATAGTAATTCTATTTTTTTCTTTCTCTTGGAAACATAATTATAATAGGAAAGAAGAAGGGACGTCAGTCACAGTTTATTTCTGGATTATGTTAACAAAACAAAATTGCATATTGTTTCAGAGATCTCTGCATATTTTGGAGCTGGCTCTTCAGTGACGTACAACTTCCAAGAAACCTACAGTTTAGCCAAGAACTCCAGCTCTCATGCTGCCTCCTTCCATCCTGACATGACCTTGACAAGAGAAGCAATTGCATTTACCTTTCGAACAACACGGATTCCAAGTTTACTTCTTTATGTGAACTCTTTCTACAAGGAGTACCTTTCAGTTATTCTTGCAAAAAATGGTATGACCATTTACAAGGTTTAGAAATACTGTTGCCATTGTGTTTTTTTTCTTTTTAAGAGTTTTAATGGTGCACTACTTGTCATTCCCCAAAATCACAAATGAAATGAAATGTGACTATAGGATGACAACGGAACTTTGACCACTATAGCTCAGTTATTTTGCAGGAGTTATAAATCTAATTATCATCATCATTGGCTCCTTGAGTTTTCAGTGTCCCTTCCTCTAGGACTTTCTTTTTTCCCAAAGGAAATGCCAAAGGAAATAAAGTGATTCTGGGGTTTATAGGTCATGAAACAACATGAATGCTATTTGCCTCTCAAACTATGCAAAACATAGAGCAGAGGTGTTCTTGGAAATGGAGACATCAGCTCAGCGTTCAGAATAATGATTGTTTTATTCTAATCATTCTCCATCTCTCACAGATTTCTCACATTTGGTTACTTAAATATATGCAAAATTAATCTGTGTTCACCATGAACTGTGTTCACCATGATTTATTTTTATTTTTCTCCAATATAGTTACAGAATTAGTAGATGACCCTCTCATGTTTTTCATAGTCTCTGTTTTGGGCCTTTCTTCATCAGTTGTGACCCCACTTTACCAGGTTGCAGCTGATGGAGAGATGTTCCCAATCCTCACCTGCCAACTACCAAAGCTGCAACCATCAGAAAGACAATGTCCATCACACTTCCTTGTTGCAGCCTTAATGGCTGGCAGGAAAGGAAAGGAAATATAATCTGCCCACATCCCGATCTTCAGCATAATGGATCATCTGCCCTTTCCTTGGCTGATGCCCAGTAAAGTAGGCTGAGGTAGTTATAAATGTGCCAGTCGTGCCACACTTATTCATCTGTAGGGACTGTGAAGGCAGCTCCATTATAGATCTGTAACTTCAGGTTATGCATCCATACAACTGATCCTGAATTCCCACTGCACTTCCCAAGAGAAGTTTCTAGGATTTAATATTTTCAGAAAGAAAGAGCAGAATTATTTATATTTCAACAGGTGTTCATCTGTAAGATAAAGTTTTTATGCATCTGTCATTTATGTTTTGTTTCTGATATAGTTGCCAATTTTAGCCACTGGTTTTCATTAGAAACAAAAACATGACAGCTAATTTTAGAACAAATGAAAAAATAGAACATTAATACTGCAAACAACTTAGATGTAACTGTGATGAGAAGCACGGCTGTAAGATAGATTGTAAATTGTGCAGGGTGGACTAGTGATTTTATCCCCAGCAGAGCAATTAATCTAAGTCTGTCACATCCACGCTCAATAGTCTTGCTGCGATACAACCATAGTTTCACAAAAGAAAGCTGCTGCTTGAAGAAAAGCCATTTCAGGGCAGAGTGAATAGACATGTGGTTGTTACAACATGTAACTGAGTAGATGTGGGGAACATGGGAACATGGGAAATGGCAAATGTCATACAGACTGAAAAACTCACAACAATCCAAACACAAGATTTTTTGCACGCTTGATTTTTTGGTCACTGCTATTTGGGTATATTTTTTTCATTTGTTTTGAAAACAAGCTGCAGTTTCCCAAATAGTGAGGCCAGCCTGAATCCAGAAATTGTCCCACCACAGAATGATGTTGTTTACTAACTAAATCTTTGTGATAACCAAATAAAAAAAAACCTGTGCTATTAAATGAATATACTTTCTTTTCTATTTTTACAACTTTTATTGTTTTATTTTAATTTTGCAAAAATGGCATGTATCTGAATTAGCATTTTCAAAATGCATCACAAAATATTTTCTTCTGGCCTTGGAACTGCCTATCTACTGACAAAGATATATAAGTGTCAGCAACATAGGATCATAAAGTAAATACAATCACATCAGTGATTTTTCAACCATAAAAACTATACCCTGAATCTAATTGAAAGTTTCAGGTAGACTTTGTTTTAATTGATGTCAGATTAACTTGGACTTACGATGAACCTATGAATGAAAGTTCCATGATCAATATCCCTACTGAGCTCATGGAAGCTGAAAGCTATGTAAGCCTCTCTGAGGTTCCTTCAGGGTGAAAAGGATGGGTTAAAAAAACATAGTAAATAAATATTTTTTTCTTCATTGAATCAATGTACTTACAATATAGTCTTCATCTTTTCTTGTAACCACCTACTTTTCTAAGCATTTTAATGATTCCTGTCATCTCATTGTAATTCAACCATGTGATGAGATTTTCTTTCCATATCAGGAGTGACTTGAGAAACTGCAAGTCACTTCTGGTATGAGAGAATTGGCTGTCTCCAATTATGTTGCCCAGGCGTCATCCTGATGTTTTACCATCCTTCTGAGAGGAGCCTCCCACAAGGATGGTAAAACATCAAACATTAATGCGTCCTCTGGGCTATGTCCTTTCAGAAGGCCAATTCCCTCATATTTAAAAAAATCTCATCACATGGCTAAAGTACAACTGTTTGGCCATTTTGATTTGCTCCTGGACACTTTTGTCATTCTGGCAGCCCATGGACTCCCCCAACAGAAAATTTCAAATGGGTTTATTCTCTTCCTTTCAATTTGTTGTCCAATGTCATGAATAATCCACATTTTTGTATTCAGTGTGCTGCCCCTCTGATAAAATGGAAAACTTGTGTACTGCCGATCATACTTTAATTTCTTAGACACAATTGTTTGTTTTATCCTGAACCATTTGATTCCCTTTCCCTGTGTGTTTTCCAGTCATCTGTAGCTTTTATATCTAACATTTTATCAAAAAAATTCAAATATTCTTGCACAATGATTTTTCAAATGTCCTTCTTTAAAATGGAAATATTTTATCACTGTATGACATAGATACCAGTTCAACTGAAAATTTCATTTTTTTTGTTCATTAAGGAAGTTTACAAATAAGATACAAGCTAGATAGTCATCAAGATCCTGATATCTTTAGCATCAATTTCAGAAGCATGGCTGATGGACAGCTTCACCATGTGAAGATTAACAGAGAGGAAGAAAAACTATTTGTGGAGGTAATTCAAAAACCATTAATAGCAGCAATAGTAGATTATCACCTGTAAAGAGGAATGACCGTTCTAATACCACCGAATATCACCAATTTGTGATAGATTGCCACACCACTGACACCAATTTGTAAAAGTATCCCACTTCGCCAACTTGCACTGGATTTCTTTTACTGTGGTTAGCAACACTGGCCAATCTGCGAAGGTATTCCACCTAATACTGTTTAAATCTCCAAAGGTTTGCTAATTTATAAAAGGTGTAGATAATTATAGATGTAATTCAGGTAACTGCCACCAACGGGAGGTAATGCCGATGAGAACTGGTTCCCAGACGCAGATATATAGAGATGACACTGTCTTCAAACAAAAGTTAATAAGTTTATTTTGAACAAAGCGTATGGTTGCAGGCTGTTGATAAACTTGGAAATACTTTGAGAACTTTACATGTAACTTGGTTGCAATACAGTTCACACTTCTGGATGATACAACTTGTAATTGACTTTTACTGTGGTGAAGCACTTTCTTAAACAATGTTTCCTGAGGTGAATAGCCTTCCTGTTTGATCCTTCCATGATCAAACCCCAGATCTCTAGTTCATTTCTAACTAGTGATCTAAACAAGCTTCTCTTAGTCCTCTCTAACTAATGAAACTAATTAGGTTTCCCCTTCAGCCTTCCTAAACTGAAGAAACCTCTGACTATTCACAAACACTGCTTCTCTACTTCCCACTCTCTCTCTCTCAGCTGCTAACTCCGACTCCAAACCCTAACTGACTGCTTCTTTTCAAACGCAGATAGATTTCTCTCACTAGGCTCCGCCCACTTTCCACTCCTGCCTGGTCTCCTTGGCAACGCCACAGTGAATACAACCAGTTCTAGTTTTCAGCTACTGTTACCAAACAAATAGTTAAACAGTTCAAATACATATACCTAGTTTCAATAACTTCCTTACATCAACCCTAAAACAAATCAAATCAAATAAATATAGCACATGTCTTTCAATAAATTGCTTTCTATGTTTGAAAGAAGTGTTCAAGGAAGTGAAGGAACACATAGCATAGACCTCACAACCTCTGAGGATGCCTGCCATAGATGCAGGTGAAATGCCAGGACAGAATGCTTCTAAAACATGGCCATGCAGCCCGGAAAACCTACAGCAACCCAGCACATAGCAGTTGTGCTATATAGAGAGAATAATAATAAAAATCTGCTCCTTCCAATGAAATTCTCCTTCAGTCTCCTCTTTGCAGTAACATAAAAATCCAGTTGAACATTCTCAGATATAGTTTTGGCTTTCAAAGAAGAACAGGCAAAAAAAATCAAGGAAATCTAAACATTGAGATTGTAACTGTCCTAGATATGATTTTGTATATTTCACTCTTTGCAATGTTACAAATTTGTGAAATGAAGCAGAATTTAATGACAGGAGCAGAATTCTTATTTAGAGGGGCAGTTCCTCCTGTCATAGTTCCTCCCCTGATGTTACACATATGTAACAGAGGCTGGATAGTCATCTGTCGGGGGTGCTTTGAATGCAATTTCCCTGCTTCTTGGCAGGGGGTTGGACTGGATGGCCCATGAGGTTTCTTCCAACTATGATTCTATGATTCTAAGTGTGTATAGGAGTAGAGCCTTAGATGTTAATCATATAGACTGTCTCACTAAACTTGAGGCCCATATTTTACAATGATGTTAACCAGGCAACAATTTTTAAATATTGTACATAATTGTAAGATATTGTATACGTGTATTTTACTCCATATTACTGTATTAAGATATATTACATGATATATATATTTATTTAAAGACAAATCCTGTGTTGAAAAGACCATTCCCTCTCATTTTCAAACATAAGGGATCGGTGGCTGTTGATACATAAAAGCAACTTTTAAAAATGTATAATTTTATTTTTTCTTTAGACCCTTTAGGCCTAACATCCTCAAGCTGCGGCCCTCCAGCTGTTTGGGCCTCCAACTCCCAGATGCCCTAGCCAGCTTGTTCAATGATCAAGAGTTCTGGGAGTTGGAGTCCAAACAGCTGGAGGAATGCAATTTGAATATGCCTGCAAATGTATGAAGTTTTACCTGATTAACTAGCAATTAAAACCCACTTGATCAATTCACTCAAATGTTTCTAATTCACTAGCTTACATATTAAAACCTATTCTACAGACATTGTGATTGGGGTAGTTGGCTTTCCCTAAGAACCGCTTAAAACGTGTGAAACTGAAAGAGGGACAGAAATGACATGTCTGAATATGTACAGTGGGCAGTGTTGCTCACTTCAACATTGTTGAACAATCAACACTTGTCCATATCTATGGTTTGCAATTCCTTTCTGCTTTGTTAAAATTGGAGTGAATGTAGATTTTATGGATTTGTTTTTTTAAATGGAATACAGATAGCTTGCACCTGATTTTCAAAATATTTTATAACTCAAGACTTTTAGTTAATTCAATGGAATATGCACTTCTAGGATGAATGGAAATGTTACTCAAATAATGTGTTTATTCCCACCTCATTACACAATTTCTAAGAGAACTGGAAGATTAGCTTGTATAAATCATATCTGATTGTAGTAACAATGAGCAGCCCTTATTGTAGAAATGTCTCAGTCTGAAATATATTGGGCTAGGAACTGGTGGAGCACAGATATGTGCTGTCATCAGCATTTTAAGACAAAAATTATGTAATGACATGGGGACTTTCACAGAGAAGTATTTAATCGCTTAAAATGCATACTTCCTTTTCAGCATTTAGGCTTTGCCACTTATACTGCATTTAACAAGAAATGAAAGGAGCTGCCCAAATGGATTTTTAAAAGGAGATGCTGTTTTAACATTGAAATTGTTTAAACAACATCTCTTGTAAAAGAATGGCTTTCATGGAGTCAAATAGGACACTTTGTTTATAAAACTGTTATCGATATGTAATAAATATCATTACATTTTAGCATCTCTCTTTTAGACATTATTGACAATCTTTTTTCTTTTCTTTTCCTTTCTTATTCCTCATATTACAATTGCATTACCTTCAATTATGCTATCTTGTGTATCTCATTGAACAACATGGAAGCTCAACCAAAATGAAAAGATCAAGTTCTTTCTGTCTTCAGACACGCAGTTCAATTCAGTCAAATCACTCATACTTGGCAAAATCTTAGGTAAGTATACTGCTGTAGAATTCTTTTCCCCAAAATATAGATTAAAAATATCATCACGTAACAACAACAACAACAACAACAACAACAACAACAACAACCCTAATCTTTTTGAGAAACATTCCTTTTTCGGATTTGATTAGGCAGAGAGTGACAATCAAGGTGGAGGCTTCATTCTTGTCAAAGTGCATATATAATCACGGGTAAGTGCTTCTAGCAAGATGAGCAAGTGGATTCCATTAAAAATAATTTCATACTTATCTTCTCCTTTTTGCAATCAACCATAATGAAACATGCCATTTTCAAAACAGCTTAACAAAGAAAAGACTAAATTACACTCAAATTATAGGTAAAGAAAATGAATTAGTTATCCAAATGGCAAGATTTCTTTCCTTTTTAATAATGTACCATTGTGAAGAACATCAGAGAAGTTCTGATTTTAAATGGTTTAAACTATGGATGATCAAGTGATAGCAGGAGCAAATGACACATTATCAGATGTGTCAGTGTGATATCCTGCTGGTAAAGTTTGAATAAGAATGAGTCACACAATTTATGGTAAGAGAGTTGCAGGAAGACTTGAGAGACCCATGTTCAAAGAAAGTAAATACAATTAAAAGAGCAGCAATAATGTAGTATATTAATAATATTTACCTGCTGGATATACCTACTTTTTAAATCCACAGGTACGCAAGGTTTGGGGTTCAATGACTATTTTGTTGCCCAAATCTAAAAATTCCTGGAGTGTATTTTGTTTAGATGGGGATTGTATGGAACTGTAACCCCCCCCCCCACACACACACACACACACTTTACTTCCAAAGCATTCACTCAGTAGCTTCACCGGAATGCAGCCAATGAGAGGTATAGAAGTGATTGTGTGTCAGAAGAGTTTGTAACACATTGATTGTTAGGGCAGTTGGTGCAAAACCATCCAAGGAACAGGAAAAAGAACATAAAAACACACCCAGCTAAGCGTTGTAGGATTAAGTAGTCACTGGAAATCCCTTTGTTATACTAAATGGCATGAATTAAAACATGTTCCTAGAATTGAAGCACTTAGTGTTGCAAGTGCTTCAATTCTTCATTTTGGGTGTGCGTACCTGCCCAACCTAAGCCATAAAGGTGAACCCTATGGCAAGGGGAGGCTTTTGAAGGTCCAAACAAAGGAGACTAGATGGAGATTTGGAGGGATTGGTCAATTAAATCCTTCCCCTCTGCACATGATGGGGGGCAGAGGAACCTATAAAATAGGATTGACGCCTCACAACATCCTCCTTTTTCAGCTTGTGTGACCCACTCTCAGGATAGTATGAGTGTAAGGGCTGGGTAGAATTTTTCCTACTTCATACTGTTTCTATTGAAGGTGGAAATTGGTTTGAGGTGGAGTCACTTAAATATGTTGTCACTGGCATGTTAAAAGTTTAAATTTGATAGGCACCATAACATCCCATTTGTTGGTGAAGGGTGGGCTTCTGGAATGGTTTGGGAGGGAGTTTCCCCAGGATGGCCTTCCTGTTAAGACCAGCCAGGGCAAACAACCCAAATAGTTTGGATTGCATCGGGTTGAGGTACTGGCCCAGGTAGGTCTATGTAGGTAATAGTCAGTGAAGTGATACCTGTCTTTTGGATGTCAGGTGTATTTAATCCCCCCCCTTTTTTTTCTGCCGGTTGCAGTTTCAGCAAACAAATGAATAAATAAATAGGTCAAATAATGCCCCCTTTATACCATATGTTTGTTGTATAGCTTCTTTATTTCATGGTGGGGGTTTAAATGCCAAACATTAAAAATAATAATTTCATACCTTCCTGTAAACATTATATGCCAGTGAGATAGCTGACTATCCAGTAATCTCTCAGTTTAAGAGCTTTGCAATGTTCCAATATTCATTCTTGCAGTTTTCATGTGCAAAACCAGAGTGAGAAATCACACTTTGTACAATTTAATTTTAGCTCCTTGGAAATCTCAATCCCATGATTCAGATAGTATAGTGAGTAAAATCCGTATTTCGCTTCTTACAATAAAAAATGGAAAAGTAAATCTTTGCTGAAGAATTTGCAGTTTTAATACTTGCTATGGACACATTTTGCTCCTGAAATTTAAAATCTGGGATTAAAGAAAAAATTGCATAGTCTGCATTATTGTAACTGAATTTCCGTTTTCAGTGGCAAGAATTAGTATTTGCTGTCACTGGGTGGTCATCAGTGTCTACAAATGTTGTGAAAAATGATGCCAGCTGCACTGAAACTCTTTTTATGCAAACAAAAGAGTCAGTATAAAAGCATGGTTTACAGAAATGGTTGAAATCAAGTCGATGGATCTGCAGACAAACTATGAAGAGTATCATAATTATCTTGTTTTGTTGAGGATTGTTATGTGCTCTGAATTTTCTAACCATTACCTCTTATTTTCAAAGGATAAATGGGCGAGAAAGAAATGGAAATTGGTTCTTTGTTGAAGGCTCTAAATGGGATGATTTTACCTTCATTTTCTCAACAATCTCAAAATACGTGTGAACAAAGAACAGTTCAGAGATCATATATCAATTCAAAAATGACTCCATACCTACAAACACAACCCTCATTTTCCTGTGTTATTAGCATTTGTTTTTCTGAAACATTTGTAATGGTATGGTGTGGCTGTTATTGTTTGTTAAGTGCCATTGGATTTTTTTAAAAAAATACTACTGACATACAGTCTAGCATTGTCTTCAAAACATAATCTATTTCCATTTCTCTTAAAACCCTGCCTATTACATGTATGTAGTCAATGGGCATGTGCCCAAATTATCAGAATGTACTATCTTCCAGATATATTAATGCTTTTTCTGTCAATAGTTAGTACCCAAGGTCCAATCTACTGTAGAGATTACTGTTTTTGATGGTAGGACATTACTTTGAGTGTATAACTTAGTGCTAGACCAAACTATTTTACCTGGACATGTTGGAATGCTGTAAACATTAGACTGACAACACCAACCCACCCAGGTTCTGCTAGTCTTTATGAAGATGGTATTCATTACTGTTTTCTATATCTATGAAGTAGTAAATCTGATGCAGGTTTCAATGAAAATATTAAACAAATTGCCCAAAATGTTATAACCCAAAATAGGTTCAACATATTGGATAGTTCCTTTAAAAATAAGACTAGAATCCAGAATGGATTCATTACTTCATTAACATGGGAACAAACAGTGAGCGCAGCAAATTTATCTTTAGATGCAACTCAAAAGGTTTCCTCTTCCGCACTTTCTTTCTCACTCTCTTTTAAAAATATAAATTAATATCTTATTCCAAATCATTTGGCAGCTTGGTTACACAGAGAAGCATTTAAAAAAATAGAGATGTAGTGTCCCAAAATAAGAGTGCTGCATTATGGCACAGCATCATTCTGCTTGGGCATTATATATAAAGTGATCTTTGATGGTAATAGGGTCTCTAGCTAATAAAGCTCCTGAAAGATAGAATATTAAATAAATATCTCACTAATGGCCAAAATCCAAGTTTCTCAAGCATGATGAAACCTTGATGGAAAGAATTTTGTATTGAAGATAATCTTCTGTTAATTTTATTTTTTTGAATGGAAAATATTTTCCATGCAGAACAGAAAGTACTGTTTTCTACATTAAAATACTTAATCTTTATTACCTACAATCTTTAAATAAAAATTGCAGAAGGAAAAACTATATTTGTTGATTGGGTTGCTGTGAGTTTTCTGGGCTATATGGCCATGTTCCAGAAGCATTCTCTCCTAATGTTTCACCCACATCTATGGCAGGCATCCTGAGAGGTTGTGAGGTCTGTTGGAAATGGTTTATATATCTGTGGAATATCCAGGGTGAGAGAAAGAGCTCTTGTCTGCTTGATGCAAGTGTGAATATTGCAGTTGGTCACCTTGATTAGCACTGAATGGCTTTGTAGCTTCAAAGCCTGGCTGATTCCTACCTGGCAGAATCCTTTGTTGGGAGTTGTTAGCTGGCCCTGACTGTTTCATGTCAGAAATTCCCCTGTTGTTTCAGTGTTTCTCTTTATTTACTGTTATTTACTGTTCTGATTTTAGAGGTTTTTTTTAATACTAGTAGCCAGATTTTGTTTATTTTCATGGTTTCCTCCATTCTGTTGAAATTTTCCACATGTTGTTGTTGATGATTGATTACTTTGAGAATTAAATTAGGGAAGAACTAGATCCTTAAATGAGTGATATGCTTCTTAAATGTGATATATATTGGCCAATCCCAGTTAGCAGAATATAGGTGGCAGTATTCTGAATTAAGCAACGTTTCAAAGCATTATCCTATGGTTGCCAGGTTAGGGACCTCATTGCACACCATTTCATTTTGCCATCATTTGCCAGCAAAACAGCAGGCACACAAGGCACCTTGTGGTACCCCACACACCCTCTCTCCTTTCCCCATCACATGGTAGGGACAGGACAAGGTGCATTACCCCATTGCCCTTTCCCCCATCATATAGAGGAAAAGGAGAGGAAAATGTGGATAGCTCACTTGGAGCTACTCAAGAAACACTTTCTTCTCTGTCATGGCAGAGAAAGCATCTTGCCACTCTTCCACTCCACTTTTGGAATAATGTGAGTGGGAAGCCAGTGTTGTCTGATGATGGTCGGCAGGCCTGTCCAAAAGAAGAAAAAGCTGCCAAAAAAAGCTGCCACATATCCACTAGGACCGAATGGTTACAATTCACATGGAGACCTTTCATTGAAGGTTTTCCACTGCTGAAATTTCACTTCAAAACTTGGAAGAAGGGGAAGATGGCAATGGATGAGTGTGAACCTAGTATGTTAGTATGTTAGTATTTATCCTCCACAGTCCCATGTGTTTAAAGAATGCCTTTCTGTATGCATAAATAAATACCATTCTCAAACATCTGAAGAATCAGAAGAAATGTGCTTCATTAAAGATATTCTCTCAGTGACAAATGATCAGATCTCTTTGATTTAGCACATTACTTTTATCTGTAAAAGTAATCTGAACTGCTATTAATTTTCTGGCTGTGACCTTATACAGTTCGTGATATGTGATGTAATTTGCTATCATCATTACACATTATCATTTTGCTATTATCAGTAAGGTTTAGATAAAAGCACTTTTGCCACTTTCTAAATGAGAAAAGAATGCACCTCGGGTAGGTTTCCTTGCATATTTCACATTATATGAAGAGGCCGTAGAATTCTCTTCCTTTGCCAAGATTTTCATTTCCTTGTCTTTTCTTCCTTCTAAGAGCTACCTACCACAGACCTAATGTGCTACTGTTTCTCTACAAAGCTGCCAGTAGGATTTCTGCCAGTTTCCACTTCCACATTCTTCCCTTTGGACACCGTCTTCCATTTTTATGGTTTATACTGGCACCAGTCTCAATTATGTATAATGTATTTTCCATCAACCAAGCTTTTGAAACCAGTTTTAGTGCCTGAATAACAGTAAATCTTGGCTAGTTCTATGCATAACTTATGCAAATGCTAAAGTCCCATTAGTCATGGGCAGAGTTGGAAAGGTGGAAGGAACCGGTTTTTAAATAGGTAATCCTGAAGCTTATTTGTGATTGCATAACAAGCTTATTTGTGATTGCATAACAATGTTTAAGACATGTAAGTGCTAATTTGCTTTCCTCTTTATGTTAATTTCATTTTAACTGCCATGGCAACTTCCTAGGAGAACCTGCATTTTGTTGTCAAGTGGACTGAAATGGATTCTGGCTGTATTCTGTAAATTCTGTACAACAAAATGTAGGATTCCACTGGATGTTGCAGTTCAAGTGGAATCATAATTCCATAATTATGTAATGTGAAACTGTCCATAAATACTATATTATGTATTCAGGTACTACTAACAAATTCAAAAAATTGCTACATCTAGGTAGGCATATATTCAGCAGTACTGAAACTTTTGTGCAGCCTCATGTGGTTAAATCTTATACTTATTGGTGTTCTGAAGGATCCCAGTGAATGCAAGTGTTTTTATTCTTTTTAATACTATGTTATGCAAATGTTTGTTTGGGCTTATACAATGAATGCAAGATAAGGATGTTACCATGACGTTTTCCCATAACCTACTCCAATCTTCACTTGACATGTTGAAATTGGGCTCCATTCCCTTGTTGAAAAGAACAAATTAGCATACAGGTGTTTACTGGAACAGTGGTGCTGATTACCATCATCAGGAAGGCTTGGGTTTCAAAATAAAAATGAGATAAGATATAGTGGCAGGCTGCACAATATGAAATAGATTGACTTCATGGAATTATATTTCCCATTATCTTTGAGGAAATGTGTATTCCACTGGTTTATCTCTTGTGCAATGAATATTGTATGCACATTTGTTTGTGCAGCAGTCATTTTCTACATTTTTTTCAGAGTTTGAAATGGTTGAACAAAAGGACTCCTTCTCCCACTGCACATGAACATATGGTTGCAATGTCATATGGCACAGCAGAGTGCAGTAGTTCCATGAGCGGGCCTATACTATGCTGAGCCATATACTACATCCCTGGACTTACTATATAAACTCTAAACCCCTTCTCCTGGCTCAGCCATTCTATGCCCATGGATAATCATGGGTAGAATCAGAGAAACACCTGGGTATTTCCCCATAGCCAAAGACAAAATGATTACAGCAGCATTAAGATCAAGGGGATCCACCAGAAATCTCAGCACTGATGTCATCCATCAATTCATGCAGAAGGTGGGAAGAACACACAGAATACCAAATTCTGGCATTACCCAGAACAGTCTACAACTCCCGAAATCCCAGCCAGTTTACCAGCTGTTAGGATTTCTGGGAATTGAAGGCCAAAACATCTGGGGAACCTCAGGTTGAGAACCACTGCCCCAGAAGGACAGAAACAAGCATAAGGGAAACCTAGACATGTGCCCTTAATAGATCGCCAGTATCAAGTAATTAATAATATTGTGTATGAATTAAAAAATAAAATATACCATTTCAACAATGCCAGCAAAATATTTATATTCTGTAGAATTTCTCAAACCACTTGAATTTAAATAATGTATTCATAACTTTTATTATATGCAATGGTGGACAATCATATAGGGCACCAGCTTATTTTAGGTCCTAATTTAGTGATTCAGATCTGAGTGTAACTGGGGCCAGATTATTCTAGACCCAATTTAATTTAATGCTAATCCTAAATTTAAATTGAGATCTCAGAATCTATGTTGCAAGTTCTTCCCAATTAAATTGCACTGGGAAACCAGAACAATTATACAGTCAGCAATCCATAGCCATAGATTCTGTATCCATGGATTCAACCATCTACAGCTTGAAAATATTTTTTTAAAAAAAAATTCCAAAAAGCAAACCTTAATTTTGCCATTTTATAAAAGAGGCATTATTTTTTCCTAGACTGATACATAATATAATGGGACTTGTACATCCACAGAATTTGGTATCTATGGTGGGTTCTGGAACCAAATACTAGTGGGTACTGCTTGGTTATTCCATATATTTGTATTAATTCTAGAAGTCGTAAAGCAAATGTCAAAAGGATAGTTTTGAGGAGAATTGTTGTACAAGGTGCATTTTTAAAAAAATAATTTTTAAAAGGTTTACTTTTTAAACCCCGGCTCTTCTCCTATCCCTTTATATTACTTCTTCTGGCCATTAAGTTTATAGTCATGCTAGAGGCATGACTATACAGACAGCTGTTATATAGTGGCACTGAACTAGGATTATCTCAATGTAGTCTCAGAGAAGACAGCTGTAAAGGTCAAGTGCATATATTTATGCTTGACATTGCTTTCCATAGCTGTTTGATCTCGATGCAGAACTGGAGAAAGAGAGAACACATGCATTAATTTCAATATGTTAGCTATACTTTATATATTTTTTCTAGAATTTACTGTGCCAATGGAGTTTCACTTATGTGAGGTTGGAAATAAGAAAGGTAGCAATTTTGCATATATGGCATGCCACACTGAAACATGGAGGAATATGAGTTATTTCCTTGTTTTGTTCATCTGCACTATGATTAATTGTTTTCTGTTTCTTTTGTTTAGGAGATTCAAATGATGTAGACCCAGATACCTTGAAAGCCAACTCTCTGGGGTTTATTGGATGCCTCTCTTCCATACAATTCAACCATGTTGCTCCTTTGAAGGCAGCACTGCATCATTCCAGCTCATTTCCAGTTACAGTGAAAGGACATTTTATTGAGTCCAACTGTGGCACTTTAACAGGGGCTGATTCAACATCAAGCGAAACAACCCATTCACTTGCAGGTAGCAAGCATATGGCTCTCATTTGTTTAGGCGTTTAGAGTAAGAAAACAAGATAGCAATTCAAATTTTCATCCAATGTGATTATATCACATAAAGAATGTGGTACACAATTATTGGGTTCTTCAATACACTGCCCTCCAACCTTTGTCTTTTCCTCTGTGTGTGTGTGTGTGCATGTGTTTATGTGTTTAGTTATACACAATGCAACTTTGGAAAAGAAGAACTTTCTGTTAGCAGCCTTGTGTACACACTACAGGCTGTAAACCCTTTCTTAAGAAGTGTATGGAATTACATACAGTATTTACACTTCAGTTGTGTATATGGCTATATTGAGAACTTTCCTCTTTGCTTGCCTCTGTCATTTTCCTTTTTTTCTGCTGCAGATCATTCGGGACCAATAGATGAGGGAGAACCTTTAGCTAATGCAATAAGGAGTGACTCTGCAATTATTGGAGGTAATAGGGAATATAAGAGACCTACCAATGCCATGTTAACAGATATTTTGTTCCTTAGATGCTGAAGGAAACCAAGGGATGCCAAAACAACAGCATTCCTAATCTCTTTTCAAAAATGATGAAAATATTTAAGGAAACAATGACATGATCATTTTCCTCATTGTTTTAGGGTATCTCATATAAGCAGGCATATATCTATATCTACATATCTTCTGTGCCTCTACCACTTGACTGGCAACAATAAGAGACATTCAATAATCTAAAATACACAGGGATCCATGAAGCTATAGCTGTTCATGGCTCTTCATTATGTGGTTTCTTCAGGCATGTCAATGCCGTTTAATTTTTATAGAGCACATTTGTAGTAGAAGTCACATCTTTTACTCTAATTTAAAGTGGCCCTCAGTGTTAAACCACGTCAGTGTTGCATGCTCAGCATTAAGTCATTATCATTTCTGCAGCAGACTGTAAAAAGTGTTCAAATGTTAAGTATTTATTAATCTTCACAACAAAGCAATACATTAGATGTCATGAAAGAAAATATTCTGTCTGAGGAAAATCCTGTAACCCACATAACTAAAGCAAATCTTCCAAATCTGTATATAAATTGAAAAAAGTCAAGAAATTGACCAAAGCAATCTGGGTCAACTGATACTTGGGTGAATATAGTACTACTGTCTATTGTGGCACCATTTCTGACCCTTTGTAGTGCCTGTTAAAAATTGCAGTGGTGGCAATGGCTTTTTGGCACTTTCCCATGACATCAGAAAGAACAAAGAGGAGCACTTCTTTTAAGCTACCAGGACAGACTAAATACCTTCCCTTCTGGGCTGCTCAGAGCAGGGAGGGAAAATAAATTAATAAAATGATGTGATTTATTCCAGAAGACTTTTTCCCATTCCAAAGTAGTCTTTCACAGTTCAGAAACCTAATTTTGTTGGGGAAGGACTGTTTTCTAGTCCAGTGACAGAATAAGAAGATAATAAGAAGAAAGACCCACTACAGATTCTGATACCACTGATTAGATGAGGAGATTTACCAGGAGGCCATACTGAAGGCAAAGGAAACATTTCTTTTTTGTCTTTCATCTCTAATCAGAAACAGATGGTTTCAAAACATCTTCTTCATTCTCTTGTGCAAGTTTTGAGAAACAGAGGAGAAAATCTCTACCTTCAGTCATATAGCAATCATTAATAATGAGTTAAATATTCAAGGAAACTATCTAAATCACTTAAAAAAATAAGCTCCTTGGGGCATAAAGAAAATTGTCAAGAATAGAAGCTTTTATGTTGCATTTATTCAGTGAAAAATCTATTGATCATATCTTAGCAGGAAGTGATAGCTAGAATCCTGTTGATGTCTTACTTGGAAGGAGAGAAGGTAGTGAAGACCCTCAACTCTGGCAGTTGCCTCCCCTCCCCCCAATTAATGCAATGAACAAGAAAGGATCTAATCTATTCCTTTTCTGTAATTGATTTCAGAAAACAGAGAGGCTCCCTTACACCACTGTTTTTCAAACTTTGGTTCCAAATGCCAAATGGGGTCCTCTTAGCATAATGTTGGGGTCCTGAAAAATTTGGTAAATGTTTTCTGAGTGTCACCTACTGGCTGTTTTTAGAAATGTACACAAATTTGTTGTGTTCAATGAACTCTTGAAGTAGATTATTCAGCTCTACTTTATAAAAAGAAAACCACTCTGTTTAGCAAGCCATTTTTACTATCTTTTAAAATGGTTTCTTCTTTGATAAAATATGGTGGGGAGGCATGGGAAAAATCTTGTTTATGACTCCTAAAGTGGTGAAAAATCAAGACATGTTTGGTTGTTGGAGTGATATGAGGGGGAACTGTAGCACTTTGTTATGAGGGGGATGGGGGACATAATGCAAATGGGCCATGAACTGCCCAGTTATATATCCTTATTTCCCAGTGTGGCAATGATTCTCAAAGACTTGGTAAACATGAGAGTTTGATGTTAAGTGATACTGTTAGATTGTCTTCATGGTCTAGTATGGAGAGATGTTGTCAATAGAGGAAATTTGAATGCTAAAGTCTGGCAGAGAGGGTGCTTGTTCCAGCAGTTTGTAATGGGGAATGCTGTCCTTCTGACACTCCTCCCAGTCTGTCACTCAGTTTCATTCATGTATCATATACACAGAAACATCTTTGCCTTTTCACCCAGCCGTGCAGTTAGAGAGAATTCTGGATTTAATAATGGGCTTTGATCCCAAGGACTAATTAAGAATTGTCCTTTTTTGTGGTTTTCCAACCAGAAGGATAGGTAGAAAATGGATGGGAATAAATTAAACAGTCTCCATAAACACAGAGTTTTCATGCCTCCCAAGACCTGTGAGAAAATTGACACCCTACTTCAAGTATTTATATTTTTGCAAAGCATATAGAATACTTTCAAAAAGGGAAATCAAAACTATACAATATTTCAGGTTCAAAAATATGTGACAACTATATTACCAACATTACTGAGCTGGAGGTGATTGCTATGGCTTATCTGGCTGCTGGGAACAATTTAGCACCAGTCCTTCATTGATTAAATTGTTTATACAGTTAGAGTATCCTGTACCTGAAATGCTTGGGATCAGAAATGTTTTGCATTGGGTTTTCATCTTCGGCTTTTGAAATACTTATATTTGTGCATACATACATAATGAGGTGCCTCAGAAATGGAATCCAAGACTAAACATGAAATTAATTTGCATTCACCATGTGTACAGGGACAGCAGGTAATTCTATACACAATATTGTTGATAAATTCACAAATGAAACTGTTTGTATATATGGTAGCAACAGAAAGCAAAGTGTCATTGTCTTAGCTACCCATGTGGACAATTTTAGGTTTGGGAGGATTTGGGTTATGAAATATGAGACATTGCTAAAACACATAATCAAAACACTTAATCATTTAAAAAACACTCCATAGAATACATATATCAAAGCATATTTCAATAAAATACATATTAAAATACACAAAACAAAAGTTAAATATAGAGTGAAAGTTTTAAAATTATCATTAAAACTATCTGGGTAGGCCTGCCAGAAGAGTTAGGTCTTCATTTGTGTCTTAAATTCCTGCAGTTGATCTAGCTGTCAGAGCTCTACCAGCAGGTTGTTCCACAGTCGTGGAGTGGTCAATGAAAAAGTCCTCTGGGTGGTGGTTGCCAGTCGGGTTCTGGCAGGTTAGAGCAGACACCCCCCAGAGGACCTCAGGACCCAAACTATGTAGGGCTTTAAAGGTCAATAAAGAGAAAGTGTGACCTACAAAAATAAAAGTATGTCCATATTTTGATAGTCTTCTGATGGAGGAAAACTCTACATTTGCTAAGTTAATGCTCCAGTTCAAGGCTTGTAAAATAATTTAAAACAAGAAAAAGAAAAAAAGAAAATTAATGCCCCTCCCCCCCCAAAATCCACAAAAACAGCCACATCTTCCAAAAGCTTATTTTGAAAGAATACCTAAATAGAGACACAATTAGAAGGTGGGGATTGGTCTATATTTGCAAATAGTTTTGTTGTTTACAAAACCAAAGGATTTTTTTAAATTCCGGATGCTCTAATAAAAGATTAAGTATATTGAATACTTATTAGTTTACACATGAAGTACTAAAGCGTTAGAATGAGTTCAAGTTGCATGACATAGGAGTGGAAACTGAAACCATGAAACTAAGTCATGTTTCATCCTTTAGAGCCCCTAGTAAACCCACTGTTTTAATATATAGAGAAAGAACAGAGAGAAATCAGAAATGTCTGAACAGTATGCATTTTGGGACTCAAACAGTCTCAAGAGGATTCTGCTTCCTATGGCTAGTATAGAAGCAAGTATAAATCTGTAAACTTCAGTGATTATTTTTAAGACATTATTCTGTGAAACTCACACTTTTCTGATGCCATTATTTTCTCCTGAGACCAGACGTAAGGAAAAAGTGTTCTTCCCCTTTGCAAATGGTTTCTCTGCCAAATAATCCAGCCATCCAAATTCCATTAAGCTTTTTACTTATTTGTTAAGGGACAGAGAAGAAAGGAAAAAAGAAACCATATGCCTTTGTTTAACTTCTGAATTTTCTTCTTGGATAAGATCACAGAAGAATATACAGATTTGTGATAAATGGATAAATGATATACTCAAAAACAGTTAATTCCCAATGAGAGCTTAGTGGTTAGAAATGAAACCAGTGAAAAAGGTGTGTGCTCACATCTAAAGCTGCTGTTGTTGTTGATATGAAAGTATTGTCTATCCTAAGGGTGAGTACGATGCATATCTTGTGCTTTCAAATGGTAGACTCTGAAAATTTAGAGACTTCCAAAAATATGTCCACTTCAAATAGTGCCACAAATAAGTCAAAATTTCCAAAAACAGAGCAGTTTTACCCCCACAATTCCTCATCTCCAAGAAAAATCACTTAAAGCTTTGCTCCACCCCTAAATCAGACAAAAATTGGTCAAAAGTGAATGTGGAAGGAATATGGCATGATGTCTGATCATGCTAGGTGCACTGGTTTGGCACAAGGGGCTATGTTGACCCTGATCCCCTTGCTTTTGCCCATCTGCTTTAGACATTAAGGACCTCTTTAGAGAGTACTTATCTGTAGTAATTGCTGTCTGAATGTAATTTAAGCAACAGGTGGTCAAAGTTTTTGTCATTTGATTAAATGACATTCATATTTGACCATCAAATATGACATATTTTAACATATTCATAGTAAGATTGCAAAAACAGGAGAGACTACTGGATTCTGGCAGCTATCAGTGAGAAGATTTTGTAAAGCTAGACATAAAGGCAACACCCTCCCCATATTTTTGGTTGTGCCCTCATTGTCAGTTTATCTTTAGAAGAATATTACCTCTGCACATGGAAACACAAGTAATTAGTGGGGTTGAAATCCCAAGAATGCCAGTGATGATAATGATTGAACTTCTAGAACCATTGACCACTTTCCAAACTTCAGGAGAATGCTCAATTTATCTATCACACCTATTAGTCACTGATA